TCATGAATCACGAATGTTCTTAAATGGCACTGAGAATGGTGAATCCTTGGCAGAAGTTTTTCAATTTACCTTTCCCAGATCGATCCCACTATCTATGATTGTTATAGCCTTACAAAATGTAGTTCTTAAATAATAAGACTTGAAAGTCAAAATTACTCTTTAATGCATAGGCTGCAGAATAGATGTTGTGTCGGTGGGCATGAAACCAGTAATATCTCTTTGTACATTTCCATCAGATCTCTTAGGTGACAAGGTGCATTGTCAATGAGCAATAATATTTTTAAAATAATCTTTTTCTAGGGGGGCAGTAAGTGTTAGCAGTGGGCTTAAAATATTCAGTAAACTCTCCTGGTAACAGATGTGTTGTCATCCAGGCTTTATTGTTCCATTTATAGAGCTCAGGCAGAGTAGATTTAACACATTGTTAAGGGCTGTAGGATTTTCAGAATGGTAAATGGTAAATTGGCTTCATAAAGTCACCAGCTGCATTAACCAAGAGCAAGAAACTCAGCCTGTCTTTGAAGCTTTCAAGCCAGGCATTGACTTCTCCTCTATGAAAGTCCTAGATGACATCTTCTTTCAATGTAAGGCTGTTTTGTCTACATTGAAATTTTTTTAACTTAAAAAAATTTGATGGCTGGGTGTGATGGCTCATGCCCGCAATCCCACCACTTGGGGAGGCTAAGGGGGTCACCTGATGTCAGGAGTTCGAGACCAGCCTGGCCAATGTAATGAACCTCTGTCTCTACTGAAAATAAAAAAAAATTTTTTTAGCTGGGCATGGTTGTGGGTGCCTGTAATCCCAGCTTCTTGGGAGGCTGAGGCAGTGAGGCAAGAGAATTGCTTGAACCTGGGTTGTTGAGGTTGCAGTGAGCCAAGATCGTGCCACTGCACTACAGCCTGAGTGAAAGAGTGAGCCTCTGTCTCAAAAATAAATAAATAAATACATAAATAATAATAATAATTCTAAGACAGGATCTTCTTGCTCTGTTGCCCAGACTGGAGTGGCACAATCATAGCTGGCTGCATCCTTGAACTCCTGGGCTCAAGTGATTCTCCCATCCCAGCCTTCTGAATAACTGGGACTAGAGATGTTCCCACCATAGCCAGTTTTCTTTCTTGTTTTTGTTTTGTTTTGTTTCTAAGATGGGCTCTCATTCTGTTGCCCAGGCTGGAGTGCAGTGTCATGATCATAGCTCACTGCAGCCTCCTGGGACTCCTGGGTTTAAGTGACTTTCCTGCTTCAGTCTCTCAAGTAGCTGGGACTACAGGTGTATGCCACCATGGCCAGCTAATTTTTTATTTTTATTTTTGTAGAGATGGGGTCTCACCGTGCTGCCCTGGCTGTTCTCAAACTCCTGGTCTTAAGTGATCCTCCCTCTTCAGCCTCCCAAACTGCTGAGATTACAGGTATGAACCCCTGCACCTGACTACATTGAAAATCTGTTGTTTAATGTATTCCCCTTTATCAATGATCTTAGCTAGATCTTCTGAATAATTTGCTTCTACATCAGCAGCTTCTACATCAGCACTTGCTGGTCTACCTTGTACTTTTATGTTATGGAGATGACTTCTTTCCTTAAACCTCATGAACCAACCTCTGCTAGCTGCAGGCTTTTCTTCTGAAGCTTCCTCACCTCTCTCAGCCTTCATAGAATTGAGCATAGTTAGGGCCCCGCCCTGGATTAGGTTTTGGCTTAAGGAAAGGTTGTGGCTGGTTTGATCTTCTATCCGGACCACTCAAACTTTCTCCACATCAGCAATAAAGCTGTTTTGCTTTCTTATCATTCAAGTGTTCATTTGAGTAAGTAGCACTTTGAGTTTCTTTAAAAAATTTTTCCTTTGCATTCACAACTTGGCTAGCTGTTTGGTGTGAGAGGCCTAACTTTCGGTCTATCTCTGCTTTCCATATGCTTTCCTCACTAAGCTTACTCATGTCTAGTTTTTGATTTGACTGACATGCAACGGCCTTTCACTTGAACACTTAGAGGCCATTGTAGGGTTCACTTGGCCTGATTTCAACACTGCTGTGTCTCAGGAAACAGGGAGGCCTGAGAAGAGGGAGAGAGACTGGGGACTGGCCGGTCCGTGGAGCAGTCAGAACACGCACAACATTTTCTGATTAAGTTTGCCATAATGTATGGGCATGGTTTGTTGCGCCCCCAAACAAGTCTTTGATGTTACAGGAGCAACATCAAAGATCACCGATAAAAGGTCACCTTAACATATATAATAATAATAAACAAGGTTGAAATGTTGTGAGAATTACTAAAACATGACACAGAGACATGAAGTGAACACATGCTGTTGGAAAACGACTTGCTTTACATGGGGTTGTCACAAACCTTCAACATATAAAAAACACAGTATCTACAAAGCGCAATAAAGTGAAGTGCAATAAAATGAGGTCATAAAACTTCTTTATAAAGCTTTATGCTTTATACATGAAGCAGTAGATGAGTCACAAAAATATTTAACAACTTCGTAGCAGTATACCCTTAATACCCAGATTGTAGGCTCAAACACCATTTCCTACTAAAAGGAATCAGGGTTCCTTGAAGAACTGTGGATGATTTTAAGTCTACAGCAAGAAGCGTTCAAGATGAGCCTGGAACGTCTTGTTATATGGGTCAAAAGGACTGTCATATGAGGAATTACCTTGATGCAACCTTCTCATATATATATAATGTATATAACCTTCTAATATATTATGTAACAAGCTATCCCAGAGGTCACAGAGCAGAATGGCTCACAGACAAAATTATGACCCTGAATGACTTGGTTTATCAACTCAATTAAACGTTTAGTAAGAAGTAATGGAAAAGAGATGAGGAAGGTTAACACCCTTAGCACAGGGTAGAAAAAGCACCCTATGCCGGGCGCGGTGGCTCAAGCCTGTAATCCCAGCACTTTGGGAGGCCGAGGCGGGTGGATCACGAGGTCAAGAGATCGAGACCATCCTGGTCAACATGGTGACACCCCGTCTCTACTAAAAATACAAAAAATTAGCTGGGCATGGTGGCGCACGCCTGTAATCCCAGCTACTCAGGAGGCTGAGGCAGGAGAATTGCCTGAACCCAGGAGGCAGAGGTTGCGGTGAGCTGAGATTGGGCCATTGCACTCCAGCCTGGGTAACAAGAGCGAAACTCCGTCTCAAAAAAAAAAAAAAAAAGAAAAAGCACCCCATGTGAGTCCTGTGTTATTTAATGCTTACATGCCTAATCTTCCTACTGCATCAGCCTTCCCCACTGATGGTTACAATAACCCGAGTTGTGGATAAGCAGGGGGACTCAGCAGATTGACTGTGGCTGGAGCCCAAACACTCTTGTTCTATTGTAGGAAGGCAAGGGCAAGAATCCTTGGCTACGGCTCTAGCTTGCCAGTCACCCTGTTGGGCATCTATGGGTTTTATCTGCATATCTCAGGCAGAGGAGGCAGATTGCCAGAATGGGTCTCACAAAGGGATGGCTGATTTAAGATTTTGTGAATATTCAGTGCCTCATAAATATTTGGTGTTTCATGTGTCTTATGTCTACTTGGCCTGTCCATCCCTTCTTATATCAGCACACATCTGCTCTACTTACAAGGTCTAACATGTCTTAAAAGCTACTTGCTTCGACACTTAATTTCATCTAGTCTCCATATTTGTTTCTTCCTCCTACTTTCTATAGCAGACTTTAACATTCTTAAAGAATACAGCAAACACACCTTACAGGGATGCACGAGCCAACCTGAAGAGGCTCTCCATGGCCAAAGATGAGATAATTTGAGAATCAGTAAGAATAATACGATGATGCTTGAAACACACCAAATATATTGCATGCTATGTCTAGCTTTCAATTTAAAGTGAGAGTGTGTAACTGACTTTCACTTGAGCACTTAGTGGCCTTTGTAGGGTTTCATTGGCCTAATTTCAATATCATTGTGTCTCAGGGAATAGGGAGGCCTGTGAAGAGAGAGACTGGGGAATGTCTGGTCATTATGTCACAATGTCATTATACATAATAATATTAATAACAAAAAACTCTCATTGCTTATCATTGGAAGATGCTAGTGAACCAATGCGTTGTGCTCAAAATTGATCGTTTCTGGATGAACCACACCAGTGAGTAGTCATTTAGTAGATGAGGGAGTTTCTCTTTCTAGAAATAGTCTAGCTAATAAATAAAATAAGAATGATATGATTAGAATATCATCATTTCAACACCAAATGAATGAATGGATTTGGGCACTGAGCATCAAAGGCTGCTAACATCACATACACATACTGTGTTCCTCCTGAAGGAAGAACACGACACTGCCTGTGAGATAGTCTTGCTTTTAAAAAAAACTCAGATTTAAATCTGATTGAGCGTCAGTTCAGTCTACGTCAATAATTTCCAAGGTGTGGTCAGCATCAACCACGTAGGAGGTTGCCGGAAGTGCAAACTTTTGGGACTTATCCTAAACCGGAATTAGAAACTCTGAGGGTAGGGCCCAGCAACTTGTTGTAACAAATCATTCAGGTGATTCTGATGCTCACTAAAGATGGAAAACTACTGCTTTAAATACAATACCAATTTACAGGAAATACAGAACATATTAAACAACACCTTCATGATGCAGGCAGAAAAAAAAATACTGTGGGAAACCATTAGACAAATGACTTGATTTCTTAAATATAAATTGCAAGGAAATAAAAATAATAAGGAGGCCAGGTACAGTGGCTCATGCCTGTAATCCCAGAACTGTGAGAGGCCAAGGTGGGTGATCATGACGTCAGAAGTTCGAGACCAGTCTGGCCAATATGGTGAAATCCCGTCTCTACGAAAAATACAAAAATTAGCCGAGAGTGGTGGCGTGTGCCTGTAATCCCAGCTATCCAGGAGGCTGAGGCAGAAGAATCGCTTGAACCCGAGAGGTGGAGGTTGCAGTGAGCCGAGATCGTGCCACTGCACTCCATCCTGAGCAACAGAGCGAGACTTCATTACAAAATAAAATAAAATAAGAGCAGACGCCACGCCACGCCGCTGTAGTGGCTTCGTTCTTAGCCTTTCTCTCTCTTCTCTGACGCCTTGCGGCTCTCGTCAGCCTTTGGCCAGCCATCTCCTTAACACCGAACGCCATGCCTTCAATTAAATTGCAGAGTTCTGATGGAGAGATATTTGAAGTTGATGTGGAAATTGCCAAACAATCTGTGACTATCAAGACCATGTTGGAAGATTTGGGAATGGATGATGAAGGAGATGATGACCCAGTTCCTCTGCCAAATGTTAATGCGGCAATATTAAAAAAGGTCATTCAGTGGTGCACCCACCACAAGGATGACCCTCCTCCTCCTGAGGATGATGAGAACAAAGAAAAGCAAACAGATGATATTCCTGTTTGGGACCAAGAATTCCTGAAAGTTGACCAAGGAACACTTTTTGAACTCATTCTGGCTGCAAACTTCTTAGACATCAAAGGTTTGCTTGATGTTACATGCAAGACTGTTGCCAATATGATCAAGGGGAAAACTCCTGAGGAGATTCGCAAGACCTTCAATATCAAAAATGACTTTACCGAAGAGGAGGAAGCCCAGGTACGCAAAGAGAACCAGTGATGTGAAGAGAAGTGAAATGTTGTGCCTGACACTGTAACACTGTAAGGATTGTTCCAAATACTAGTTGCACTGCTCGGTTTATAATTGTTAATATTAGACAAACAGTAGACAAAAGCAGCAGCAAGTCAATTGTATTAGCAGAATATTGTCCTCATTGCATGTGTAGTTTGAGTACAGATTCCAAATCTACGGCTGAGTTTCTTCTAGTATGATTGAAAGTTTCTTTTTTCTTTGCTCTGAATAAAACTGAACTGTGGGTTCTCTATAAGTGGCATTTTGGGCTTTCCCTCTTTTTTGTAAAGCAATGTCTGCCTAGTTTATTGTCCAGTTAACTTTAGTGACCTTTTAAAAGTTGGCATTGTAAATAAAACAACCTGCAAAAAAGTTATCTGGAATAAAATTAACAAAATATTATCTTTATTCATGAGTTGGAAACTGGAAAAGGCTTCTTGAAGAAAATGTTCTGAGTGGAGTTACTAGAATGTCTTTCAGCCTCCTGCAGGCAAGGACTACCACTGTTTTGAGTAGCCTGTATTTAGCAGGGCTCCTCCCTTCATTGCATCTGAGGACTTGTTTTCTTTATCTTTAATTTTATTTTTAATCCTCTTAGCTTTAAATATATTGCCTAGAGACTCAGTTACTACCCAGTTTGTGGTTTTTTGGGAGAAATGTAACTGGACAGTTTGTTAGCTTTTCAATTAAAGACACTTAACCTATGTGGGGTGTCATCTTTTTATAATCAGTGCTCCCATGTGGGGAAAATTATTTACACTACTTGCATGTAAAAAATAATTTAACTTTTAACATTAAAATATGTGGTAAAATTCAGAAAACATCCATCATGAGTGCAGGATACTTTCAATAAAAAGTAAGTTATATTGTAAAAAAAATAAATAAAAATAAAAATAAATAATAAAAATAATAAGAAATAATAATAAACAATAATAAGGAACCCATAGATTCATAGAGACCAACTGCAAATTTTAGAATTTATTTGGACCCTAATTCAAATAAACAAATGGTTAAAACATTTTATAACATTTATGAGATAACTGGAAATTGATTGTAACACTAGTTATTTGATATTTAGGAAATGCTAATTATTTTAGAATGTGATAATGACTGGAGATAATTATAGGCCAGTAATCCCAGAGCTTTAGGAGGCCAAGGCAGGGGGATTGCTTGAGGCCAAGAGTTCAAGACCAGCCTGGGCAATATAGACAGACTATCTCTACTATAAGATTAAAAAAAGCAGTTGAGAGATGGCGGCCGCCGCAGGTAGATCGCTCCTGCTGCTCCTCTCCTCTCGGGGCGGCGGCGGGGGCGCCGGCGGCTGCGGGGCGCTGACTGCAGGCTGTTTCCCCGGGCTGGGCGTCAGCCGCCACCGGCAGCAGCAGCACCACCGGACGGTACACCAGAGGCTCTCTTCCTGGCAGAATTTGAGAGTTGTTTATTGCAGTACTGTTGTGCCCTCTGATGATGTTACAGTGGTTTATCAAAATGGGTTACCTGTGATATCTGTGAGGCTACCATCCCGGCGTGAACGCTGTCCGTTCACACTCAAGCCTATCTCTGACTCTGTTGGTGTGTTTTTACAACTGCAAGAAGAGGATCGGGGAATTGACAGAGTTGCCGTCTATTCACCAGATGGCGTTCGTGTTGCTGCTTCAACAGGGATAGATCTCCTCCTCCTTGATGACTTTAAGCTGGTCATTAATGACTTAACATATCATGTACTACCACCAAAAAGAGACCTCTTAAGTCATGAAAATGCAGCAACGTTGAATGATGTAAAGACATTGGTCCAGCAGCTATATACCACACTGTGCATTGAGCAGCACCAGTTAAACAAGGAAAGGAGCTTATGGAAAGACTAGAGGATCTCAAAGAGCATCTGGCTCCCCTGGAAAAGGTAAGAATTGAGATTAGCAGAAAAGCTGAGAAGAGGACCACTTTGGTGCTATGGGGTGGCCTTGCCTACATGGCCACACAGTTTGGCATTTTGGCCCGGCTTACCTGGTGGGAATATTCCTGGGACATCATGGAGCCGGTCACCTACTTCATCACTTATGGAAGTGCCATGGCAATGTATGCATGTTTTGTAATGACACGCCAGGAGTATGTTTATCCAGAAGCCAGAGACAGATAATACTTATTATTTTTCCATAAAGGAGCCAAAAAGTCACGTTTTGACCTAGAGAAATACAATCAACTCAAGGATGCAATTGCTCAGGCAGAAATGGACCTTAAGAGACTGAGAGACCCATTACAAGTACATCTGCCTCTCCAACAAATTGGTGAAAAAGATTGATCTGCAAAGAGCCTCTGAATCCCAGCAGAAGGAACACGTGTTTGCCTTTTTAATTAAAGCATTGCAGGTGGAAGCTGGGAACCATGTGGGGGTAGAGCGTTTTTACCTTTAATTATAAAACAAAAACAGAAAGGATCTGAGGGAAGAAGGGAGTGTTAAAACCTGAGGATCAGGCATTGTGGAATATAAGATCAAAGGGCTTAGTGAATATTGTCTTAACCAAGTATCTCACTTTCTGGATAAAAATGATGCAGTTATATAGTCGAGAGATTCATAAAGAGAAAGTGACGCTGGGGGTGTTTGTTTCTTGCATCTTCTCTGCAGAGTCAGCAAAACAGTAACACACCAGCACCCCACTCTGCTCTATTTTTTTTTTAATTTAACTTTCCCTATTTTTGACATAGGAGTAAATAAATATACCAGAAAAGCAGATTCTCATGATATGTGGATGGCAATCTGAGTGCATATCATTAGCATTTATTTTAAATCGGACCCAGTCTCTGCAGAGTTACCAGGAATCTCTCCCTCCTGCACCCCTTTACTGACCACCTACCTGTTCCTCTTGGCTACACTCATTTTTTTCCATTTGATAATTGGAACCAACTTACAACTGTTTAATAATTGATACTTTATCTCTTAATACTTTCTTAAATGTCTGTATAGCCCAGTGCTCTGGATCAGTGTCTAAAAATTATTGGCAACACTGCATGAGGTTGTTGGTTTGATTTTGTTTTTCTATTAATTAGTCTTTCACAGGAGGAAAATTTGCCCTCCTTTATATGCGTATCTATTGATAATCCCCTCTCCCTCCACTACATAAGTCAGAGAGAGGAGGGGTGTTCAGCTGTTCTACCAAATCAGGAAGATGTAAGGTTTACAAACTGGCTAAAAATCATGGCTCTGTAGCCATTTCAACCCAAATAATTTTATTGCTAATCTGCTTGTGTGACAGCATTCCAGGCCAGCCAGATGGCACTGCCTTGTCTGGAGGCTTTGTTCATCTCAAAGGACACACACTTCCACACTGTTTGGGAGTCCTCACACCTCCACAACTTCAGTTGTTGTAAATCAAGTGTGTGGATCTCAAAGGGTGCAAATATCTTTATACAGGAATACAGTTCTAGGGCTTCCTTCAGCCTACTCTCTTCACCCTATATTTTCTTATCTTAAACTGAGAGAAAGAAAATTAATCTTTTACTTTGTCAAAACGTTTTATACCATATTTCCAGATGACATCTGCGCTTGAAGAGTCAAAGGAATCGGTGTTTTTAATCCTGTTTTTAACTGCTGTAGGGGCAGGATGGAAAGGATGACGGGGGCTGCCACACCACTGATTAGCCTTTTATTTCACATGATTCATTTTTCGTCATTGTGGCAAGGAGTTTCTTTCTCTTTTTCTTCCTCCTTTGGGATCATTGTGTATGAAAAGAAAAACTTTAAACGACAAACCCAGACTCCAGGTGCCTTGCAAAGGTTGAAGGCCAGCCATCCCTTTCATTGGCATGATGGAATGAAAGGATGCATGTCTCCACTTCCTCACCCTCTGCCCACTTCCTTCTCCCACCACCACCCCCAGTCGTCAGCTCTTTCCCTCATTTATTTTTGTTGTGTGAATTATTTTTAAACCATTTATCCTGTTTGTGCATAGGATTTTTAAGAAGAAACAGCACAGTGCAATGAGCAAACTTTTCGGGGTGTGTGGGAGGCAAGGGAGGGAGGACATGGAGAAAAGTTCTTTAAACAAATAGCAAACTATTGAACATGTGTAAAATCCTGTATCATTTATGAAATATGTATAAAAAGCAATGTACCTTCTGGAACAATAAATACTTATTCAATTAAAAAAAAAAAAGATTAAAAAAAAATTAGCCAGGGATGGTGGTGCACACCCAGCTACTTGGGAGGCTGAGGCGAGAGGATTGATTGAACCACTGCACTCTAGCCTGGGTGACAGAGACAGACTCCACCTCCAAAAAAAATAATAATAATAAAATAAAATGAAATATGATAATGGTGTTGAAGTATTTAAATAAGTAAATGAGGGGCCATTAGACTGAGGTGGCTCTAAGTTCCTACTGAGCAAGCTAAAACCTAACTCAGTCTCATTTCCTGTAAGCAGTTAATTTAAAAGAAACTTAGCCAATCACAGGAGACCAACTGGACATTAGTTATACTGTCTTGAACTTCCTATTGGATAGTCCAAATAAGGCAATTACTGAAAGTTTAACCAATCAAATAATGTCTTTGCTCTGCTGCTGCATTCACCCTACTAAAGCCTTCCCCTCCTGCTCCTTCCTCAAAGCCCAAACCATTTCCAGTTTGAAGCGGCCTAATCAAAGAATTGCTCGTTGCTCAAATAAACTCTTCAAAGTTTTAATGTGTGCCAAAGTTTCTCTCTCAACAGAAGTTATATTTCTGAGCAAAAAGATATGATATCTTCAATTTGCTTCAAAATAATATTGGGTGGGTGGATAAAGATACAAATGAAAAAAGGTTGACCATGGGTTGCTGATAATAAGGGCTGAGTGATAGGATATGGGGCTTGTTA